GATGGATAAAGTCCAAAAACCCAATATCTCTGTGTGTTATACACCATTGTCAGAATCCTATAGTAACTACTTGAAGGTCATTCATTCGGTAATCACCTAATCAGTGAGTCAGTCAGTGTTGGTCAGTGTCGTCAGGGACATGGATCAGTGGTTAAACTCTGGTGAACACAGTTAAGGAACCTTGATGTTGTAAAATTCTTGAGCAGCTAAGTAACTGGCAGGTTCCGAAGAAAGACCCAGCTCCATGGAGTTATGTTATAAATCTAGGGTACTTTTGGAGCACCATGTAATATGGAGTGCTGCACTGATTTTCTTGATGTTAAAACTGTTTATTTTCTTATATTTACCTTTTGTCTTCATGTCAGTTGGCCTTTCCATAAAACTAATTTCTGATAGTTAAAATGAAATAATACTCTGCAGGACTGTCATGAGATTGTGAGCACTTAATGATGTAAAGCAATGCACTAATGTTATGCCTTGATCTGTCTGCATTTCAGTGTGTGTTTGTCCATCGCTGTTGATGATGTGCTATCTCATCTAGGTTGTTGTGTATCTATGATTGTTGATCTTGTGTGGTGTAGTAATGTATGGAGCTGACTCTGATGTGCATACAAAGAATAAAGTATTAAACGTGATCAACTCACATATACAATGATTGGAGCTATAATAACTATATCAGGAATAATTAAATGACTGCATCAATATAATCAAGAATTGTTGCTAATAGGACTAATTATAATCCTAACTATAATTCATATATAATTGTGCAGATGACCTATAACATCTACTACTAGTACAATACAAAACATGACACTATGATAAAGTATTTCATACACTGCAGTAATGTTTCTATGTGAAGCAAAAGGAAATCAGAAGAACCTACGCACTTCTCCACTTCTCTACTCTTTCCATAAAACATTAACTGACAGAGTTTTTTTATCACATCATTGATATACTGTACCTTGAGATAGGAGCGTACTGACAGCCACGTCTTGATGTTCCGCACTTTATTGAGGCGGAAGTGTGGTAGCTCAGACTTGCGTGCACGACGAAATGAGGTAAGGTGTGAGAACAGTTTTGCATATAAAAAACGTTGCTTGAATGTCCGTTCTGCTACAGCTAGCAGGAAGAAGAACAGTGTTGACAGCATGCAGCGCTCAAACAGGGCAATCAGTATCAATGTACGCGCCCTACCAACAAAGCCAAATATGAAATCATTGAATTTATACACAGTAAAATTCAAAGTAAAGGCAAGAGGACACTTATCTGGTGTCAACTTCATTTTTCCCAAGAATAACAACATGTCACAGCAATAACTGAAGATGACCTCAATTTATCAGAACCTGAAAACATGCACAAGAAAGCCGTTATCATTCTCCGTTGATAAAATGTTTAACTAATACAAGTGATGCAGCTGCTTCATGCATGTTGTACACTTCAGCCATTTTTGGCCCAGTCTCTTGTAACATAACTTAAAAAAAAAAGATAACTCTTCTTAGTATACCACTGAGTGCTGCATCATAGTATCTGTTTCACTCCACTCTTGGCCATGGAAGAGTACAGTATACAGGATAAGACTGCTGAAGCTAACACCTTTTTTAAATGTTCTCATTGCAAATTTTGGTTCCAGAAATTAAGGGAAAAAATGTGGTTCCACCGTACCCTTGTCTCCCTTAGAGCTACAAGAAAAACCATTCAGTCTCAAAAAAAAAAAAAAAAAAGGGCACGTAGAGGTTTGTGCTGAATGGTGGATAACAGAAAGCTCTCATCAGATGGAGGGAATCATTCAACATACAAGTGAAAACTGTGTGATCTTGGTCATGACATGGTCTTATTTCAGTACATGAAGGAAATGTTTACTTTGACTCACCACAAAGTGTCTCCCAGTGCAGCATTCATCAGTACCATAAGTGAACCTGAAAGGCTTGACAGTAGTGAGCCAGTCATTTCCACCACTGTTACTGAAACAGCAGCAGGAGGTGCAGAATCTGTGCTTGAGGGAACTTCATGGGCCACATCACTCAGTCGACACAAAGAGGGCAGCAACGCAAGAATTATTGCCATCAATACTCCTGGATCATGTAAGAATAATCCAAACTTACTAGTAATTATTAATCTAGTTCAGCGACCATTTATGCAATTATTTAACAATTATAAACTGTTTAACTGAAAATGAAAGGTGGTGCAAAGTTACTAAATGATATAAGGATTCTAGAATCAATGCTACTTTTCATGCTGATGCTTATTTGCAAATATGTGCAGCTAAATCACAGTGTGATAAAATTCATAAGATTCATGTAATTATAAATTACCACTAATCAATCATGTATTCTGGGCATGAAGATGCAGTCTGTATTTGACTCCAAAGTACTTTCCTCCTGTTCTGAACTTCAAGTATCTCTTAAAATCTCAATAGGACCCAGAAAACACAGCAGTCACAGATCAGTACAGTACTGGCAACCAACCAAACTCTACACTCAGCCTTTTCAATCCAACAGCAATTACTTACAACCCACTGTAAGGCTGCGCCATAGCTTAAGCGGTTAGTCGCTTGCTTCCCATCGCGGTGGCCCAGGTTTGATCCCGGGTCTGGTCAAGTGGGATTTGTGGTGGACAAAGTGGCACTGGGGCAGGTTTTCTCCAAGTACTTCGGTTTCCCCTGCCAATCCTCATTCCACCAATTGCTCCACAATCACCCTCACCTATCATCTGGGGCTGGTACAATAGGAAAAATACAACCCACTGTAAGCAAGAAAGTGACACCTTGTATGGAGATAGCTCAAGCATATCCACAAATTATGTAAAAAATGCAATGAAACATACTTCACAGCCAAGCAGTTTATCTTCTAAAGAAGGGCTTAAAGAAGATAATTTCACCCATGCAAATCTGTAATGCAAAGGGTATTAAACAACTTACCCACATAGAAGTAGTCCATATTTTCTGGCATGGACTCTACTCGCCCTATGATGGCAGAACTGATGTCTAATACTGACAGGTCAGCCTTCTTTACATCACTACTCTCCCACATAGTGCAGCTCACTGAAATAACAAGGCAATATCCATAATGTGAACACTGCCCCACATCTAGCACATCACTGACAAAACCATGTAACTTACCTCTGTCAGAAGCAGCACAGCTGGGGCTCAGGATTACGGTAGGCGACTGAAACACATAAACAGAAACACTCAAGATGTTCAGCTCAACTCAGTCATTTAGCATTTTGGTTGGTTCACTGACATTTTAGTCAGTCATTATACATTTCTATTTTGCAATATCCTGCTGTTCATAATCTCCTTGACTTCACTAACCTAACAATGCCAGGCAACCTGTATACATCACAAAGTTCCTTGTTACAATACATGATTCATTCTCTATTTCATTCCTCTTTAGTCAAAGAACCTTTCTGAGCACTCTGATATCCAGTATTTGCATTCAGGGTTCCCTTCTCAAACCAAGTCATGTTTCACACCCATACAAAACAACTGTAGTTCCAGTTGACTGATTATTAATTTATTTAATAATGCTTTGCAAAATCCCTGGATGAAATTGTAGTATACGTTGTGAAGGACATAGATGTAGCTCTGGCTTCTTCTAAGGTACTAATGTACTATCCCAGCACTGGTCTGAATCAAATAAGGAAATCATGAGAAACCTCAATCAGAAAAACTCTTCTGGCCAAGTCTGAAACTCAGGGTCTGCTGAATATGAAGCAGGAGTGGTAACTACTTGATCATGATGTTCAATGCAATCTCTATCTATGGCAGTATAGTTACCAGCTCAAATTCCCAGGCAAAAGGATGATCATTGAGCTCAATGTTGTCCCGAACATTACACTCATGCTGGCTGTCTGACTCTTCTAGTTCTGAGCTGTAGCTGCAATCCTCACTGTTGGTTGTGATGCCAATCCACTCACCAGCTGAGGTAGTGCCCTCTGTGAGAAGAGGACAACTGCCTCCTGTACCAGGTGATGAAAGTGTTTCACCTTCTTCACTCTCACAGCTGCTATTGTAGCTACTCTCCGCTAGTCTTCCTCTCTGCTGCTGTCCACATGACAGTTGCAAAGTCTGAGATACAGTTCGGCGTGTGAGAAGTCGTTCCTTCTGTTAAGGTCAGGATAAAAACTGCATTAACGCACATCACTCACACACTAAAAAAAGATATGCTGTTTTCCCCTTACAAAACAACTAAAACCAATCTTCATCAAACAATTTTAATTTCAGAAAAATAATTTCATGATCTTTCCAAATTGAAAGGAGATTAATTCACGAGCAATGAAACATAATTTCTCATTATGAAGGTCTAGAGAGAGTCAAAATGTATTCATAGCATAATTAAATTTCAAGATAATAAAGGAAACTGAAAGCTTGCCATCACTGTAATAAATATAACTATAACAGGGTTATCAGACCAATCATAATATAATATATCCTTTAAGAGCCTATTGACACTGTATGGAGACATTTAAAGTGTAGCCGAGTGGCCGTGCGAGACCGTATGGGTACGCGCAGTCCATGCGTGTGCACAGTGTTTTAAAATCTAATTTTAAGACAGAAATTCTTGTTCTACTTACATAATTTTTGGGCACCCACTTTATAAGTAGACAGTCTTCCCTCCTGTGTCATCTAACTGAATGCAGAGTCTGATGTCGCAATTCATGCGCTTTGTCCAGATGTAACTCCGTTTCCCACGCGAAGACCACATACGATGACACCTCAGTCTCATATTAGAGGCAGTCGGCCAGTGATGTCAAGTGGCCTCCTCTAATCGTAACGCTTATAAAACATCGCAATTTTAACTATCCACCATGGCCTCATTTCGCATGGAGGAAGCCGAAATTGAGAGGCCGCTAATAAATAACACCAATTCAGAATGCGGTACAGACGACTCTGAAAGTGGCGATGAGCAAAGGGGCTATTCTGAGAACAGTACCTCTGTGTGGTTAGTCTGAATTATACACAGTCAGAGTTTCTGAAGGACAAAGTACGATAAGACTTCGCCCCCACACTCGTGCATACAGAAAGGTTCCGACATGACTGGAGAATGTGCAATACAAACATAAACTTCTTCCCCTATTGCCAGATAAGACATAGTAAGACAGGATGTCAACAGCATGCATTTATACTGCAGAAACGGTATGCATATTTGGGGACAGACGCTCGAAAATGGGAAACAATTTTTTTTTTGGAATCAGTGTAACAATTTTTACAGATTTTAAAATCTGTAAATTACAATATCTGATTCTATATTCTTCCTAGATAAAAGCAGCGTTTATTTCGTTCGTTTATCATAAAAATTGTAGAAATCACAGCATTTTCAGTAACATGCTTACAATTTTTAATACTCTACAATGGCAGAAATTTAAATTAACTCCGGCCTGCTGCCATTACGGGAATTTAAATGGCCCGTCTCTTAAAGGATATATGCTTGATACAAAAGTGGTGCCGAACTATTTATATACAAACCAGGGATCCAGAAATATGCTGGCCTGAGACTGGTGGTATATGTAGCCCTGGCCTGAATGTACTAGCAATTTTGTTTCTGTTTCTCTCGCAATTAGATAATCGAGGAGCTATCTGAATGGAAAAGTAGCGGCTCTGGTCTAGAAAACCGAGATTAACGGCCATGGGGATCCATTGCGCTGACCACGTGACACCCTCTATCTGCAAAAGTTGGCACTAACTTTACTGACAAGCGGCAGTTACTCAGTCGGTATATTTCGCTTGTGGACTACAGGCCATGGAGTTCTCTCCAAATTGCTTGACACTGCAATTATTATACCAATGCTCATGTCTTCATCTAACAATATCTTGGACAAAATAACCAAATGAAAGCAAAGATGAGATCATTAAAGAAGCCATGAACTCTGTATCATTTAATTATGATACATATAAACTGCATTTATGTGCACAATTTTATATCATTTGCAAGTTCTTTCCGTGAGTTATTTAAACACTTAAGTTCAAATTTGGCTTCCTGTAAAGTAGGTGTTATAATTAACCAATATGTACTAAAATATAACTTGACAACCTTCAATATGTTATGTCACTGAAATCCATCATGTGGTTTCCATGATGAAACATACACATAGACTTATAAACAGTCTGATATAACCTCCCCAGTATATATTCACTTCTGAAAGTTTTGTAAGAACACATTCTAACAGTGAAGTGAAAAACGGATTAGGCTATCACATATTAGTTTACTTAATAGGGGCATGTGGTAGTGTAGTTGATCGAGGCACTGTGGTACAACCATAGTCCTGATGAGGTGGATTTTTTCAATTTATCTGATCTTTCCAGCCACACTGTGGCCCTGGGGTTGACTCAACCTCAAACATAAATGTGTACCAGGAATCTTTATGGGGGGTAAAGGACAGCCAGGGCACAAGGCTAACAACCTTACTGTCTCTGTAAGCAGACTGTCTAGGGAAAATGTGGGAGCCTCAACGTCTCACAACCCTATGGTCCTTCATGGCCTGTTACAGGGATACCATTACCTTTTTAATTGGATAGGTTATACAGTGTTAAATGGAACTATGGAAGACATGCAAAGAGTTGGCCAGTACCAATTTAAAGTATCATACATGAGACTTGAGAGTTCCCTGGCAGCAAAAATTTAGATTGTGGTCCTCAAGGACTTGCCACCATGCAGTATCCTACGTGGTTATCAATATTTCACAGGAACCTGCTGCTTCCATTTTCACAGTATAAGAACATGGATATGCTGAAGGAGGAAGCATGATACTCCAAAACACTGACCACTTCAAATGAGCCTACACATTGTCATAATGTGGAAGATCCCAGTCTAAAAAATACTATCCTGCAGTTTACAAGGAGATAGAGGATAACCACATAAAGAATCCTCTCAAGATAATTGGTCTCACAGTCATCATTCAAACCCATGTATAGCAGGAGTATTAACCACTACCCCATGACTTTTGATATCAGGTTATAAAATGGAAAAGAGGTTCTGATTTGGTACTGAGCAGAATTCAAGCTAACGGACACAAGAAGTGGTACCTGATCCTTAAAGAACATGAATTACTTCTTCATACTAACAGAGAGAGAGATATACACATTCTGCATAATTGCGAGACCACAACTAGATATATAAGCATTACCTGAGGTGATTTGCCTCTAATTTCAGTGTCTGTGATGTCAGTATCAGAGTCTGCATGATTAGTATCTGAACTAGGGCTCCTGCATGATGTGGTGTCTTGCATCCAAAAATGTCTGAATTTGGCAGGCTGTTCTTCTGTTGACGACTCACTCAATCTCGCATGTTCCTTTTCTTTAATTACAGTCTTCCCTTGGATGCTGCCACTATCACACTTTCCAGATGAATTAACCACCAAATTTTGAGTATTGTTATTACAGGTATCCTCTGGTACTTCACACTTAGTTTCAATAGATTCTAGAAGTTCCAATAGTCTGGCTACTTCATCAATACAAGTATTATTCACGAGACACTCGCAATTTGCATCCCTTTCTATAGTTGACTGCTGTTCATCAAATGACATTAACATATCTTTGTGCTGAGTGATCTGTACCATTGGTACTGCAATATCTGAAGTTGGGAGTTTTGCATCTTTCAGGGATCCTTCAGACCTCTGACCGCTGTAGTTTAAAGCTGAGCGATTTCTTTCATTCTGAGTCTTGTCTGTGATAGAAAAGCTGGCAACGTCTTGGACAGATGACTTCCAGTTCAAGGAAGATCTGGTCTGTGTACTGAGGTCCTCGGAAATCTCACTCTGCATTTGTCCTGCTTCCTCGGTATCCTCTGCTGCTTCGTCACCATTCTCACTGGAACCATTTCCATTCAGACTCTCAAATCCATCGTCATCAAGGGGTGTGGCCTCACGCTGCGCTCGTGCCTCTCTATCCGGTGGCACCACCTGTAATCTACAGCCAAACATGCAGCAGTGAAAGGCGTGGTTAAATTACACCATTTGAAACCAAATATGAATTTGAAAAAAGTTACTGAAGTAATTACCTAATTCCACTGTGAAGAGTCTTCTTTGAATAGTTTGTGGTCACTCAGCTAGTCAAGATGTTCGTTGTTTTTATGGACACTTAACGTTCATTGCTATGCTCACTAAAAATCACACCACTGAACAACATTCTAAGTCAGTACAATTCAGTATATACTTCCAAACTCTACTTGATATTTTCTGATCAAAATTTTTGTTGCATGCATTACCATTTCTTCCACACATTGAACATGTACTGCTCCTTTCATGAATTCTTAATTTAATCATCTTAATACAATTACGTACATTACAAAAATTCGTAACAGCATGATCAACTGGGCTCATCTTTTGAAGAGCATTTTTTGCTTTCCAATTAGCCAAAAATATACACCATTCCTTTCACGTTTTATTAGTCCAAAACGAACAGAGGCATGTTCCCTTCTTGTGATTCCAGAACATTCAACATGGGTTTCACTTTTTATCAGCCTAAAATAAACAGGAGAAATGTTCCCACTTGGGAGACCTACTAGTCACAGATGGAAAAAGATATATTGGAGAAAGAGGTTATGAGAAGTGAGACAAACGGAGCTGGATGAGGATATCAGACTATGATCAAATGGTGGACTCTGTGATGATGGTGATGAACCTTCAGGTTGCCTAACAGCATGAAATTTTCAACAAAACAATAAACTATCCAAGGATGATCCTTTACAATGGAATCTGTTACTATATGATACCAGTAAGAGATATTATCCTGCCTAATTTACAGTAGCTTCTCCCAGTGTCAATAAGATGGTCTCATTATGTTATCTCAATGCATGAGTAACATAATTCTGAAAGCAATGTACCTGACTTGCTGCCTCGAGAACACTGTACCAGTGCTGGCTGAGACACCTCTTGTTGCCTGATTCTGTTCTCCTAACTTGGAACATTTGTCTTTCTCAAGTTCTTGGCGATGATGACTCTCATGTTTTCCTTTCCCAGAAATATCCCAAGCAACAACTCGCCTACGTATAATCTCTGCCGAGGACCTGAAACACATGGAACAGAAACTGAATCTACAACACAGTGGTGTATACAGAGAAATTACAATCATTACATGAAACTGCATAACAAATTTTACAGCTGGGAACATACCACAATTATCTGATACTATGCATCCATCATTACACTGAAATACAATGTGTTAGTCATTACTTATCTAATTAGTGATTTCTGGAAGGTTAGTTTAACCTTTAAGTGCCGAAGTGCCCCATTTGGGCCCATGATGAGTAGGGTCGTCGTGGCCAAAGTACCATGTTTTGGCCAGTTGGGCCCAAACTCATCCATGAGCCGTACTTTTACGCAGATTCTGCAGATTAATGTGTTAAAAATATATAGTAAAATTCGATGTACATACCTTTTTTGTTGTTACCTGCTTGATGTATATATAGGCTGAAATGAAACTACAGTATTCGATTTCACTGTGAATGCTCAGAAAACAGATCACACTCTATAACTCAGCCACGATGCAACTGTCTGTTCATGACCCTAGAAAGGGCAAGAATCTCTTGCAGCTATAACAGAAGGTTTTAGCACTGAAAAAGGGACTCCTCTAGCTTTCTTTTGAATGGCCATTCTTTCATTCTTCTGTCCTTCAGTCAAAAGATTCGAAAATCTGAAGAGTGTAAGCAGTGCTAGCACAGCTAAATGATTTTATTGCTTCCATCTGTTTCATGACACCAGGGACTGCTAAAATTTGTCAAGTGTTACAAACAGAAATGAATTTATAATGCAGAACAACTCTGTGAAGAACTGGGAAACCATTTTTGCAGTATGCATCAAAATTAAAAGACAAAAACTTGAAAATAGAGTATAAAACTTTGTATAAAAAAATTTAAATCTTCCGTTATAATATGCGACACTATGTTCTTTGCTGATACAAACAAAGTTAATTCCATCCATGTATTATAAAAATTGAGTTAGATACAGCATTTTTAAACACAGGGCTTAAAATTGTTTAAGCGCCCTAACAGGAATGGACATTTAAACACAGAGTAGCAACGGGCATTTAAATAAACTACGGCCAGCTCAGGCTTACCACTATTTCAGAAGTCCGGCATTTAAAGTTTAATGTTAGTCCTACTGACAATGCAACTGCCATCTGGTCCTGATTATAACATCTTGGCACACACCACGTAGAAAAAGTCTCTTTGAATAATGCTGTGTTCTCTCGTTGCTATGGAAACATGCTTGTTTGCAGAGCTGTTACTTAGCAATGGCTGTGTTGTAGAATTGCTTGTTTTGTGGTCATTGTCTAGCAATGGGTCTACATGACACAGAATAATTCAGAAAGTTGTGACAGATTAAGAAGACATACAACATACTGCAAATCATTGTAAAGCACTGCTGATAAATATTACTGAAAAAGATATAACAAGAAATGTTTAAATCGCTAAGGGGTTCTAAAAATCCCATAGTTAATCCACAAAATGAATAACCAAGAGTCTATTCTACTGCCGAATCTTAGTTTTAAATACATACAATAAAATATTTTCTTCTAAAGTCTGATCTCTAAAAGATGGGTGTATTCTATGAAATGGTAAAGTTATTTACATAAACAATGTTTTGTTTTGCTATGGAAATCCATGAAGACTTCTGAGGCAAAATTAACTGCGCAGGAAAATGTATATTCCTGCTAGTCAGATTAACCTTCTTTCACTGAATAACAATTAAACATGGATGGTCCTTACCTCCTTAACTGCATTCGCTTACTAAATTTACTTCCACCTAGCTCTCCCACAGAACCAGCCTTATCTGAGCCAGTATCAGGAGATGATTTCGAGTCAGAGCCTGTAATACATAAATATACTTCAAAAATATGCTGCAATATTACTGATGGACTTCTTTCACATGGAAACAAACACACAAAAATATAAAAAAGCAAAAACTAATTAATATATATAAATGATAAAAATGAAGTATCTGCATTTATAAAACTAAAAATATAAGCTGCAAGGACATTCATTACCATGTGTTTTAATCAATGCTATTCATGTTTGCCCCTTTGTTTATTAACTGAAAAATAATTCATAATTCAACCAACAAAATACACATTTTATTATTGTCATTCAGACTGCAGTTAGCTTTTAAATTGGAACCTCATGAAGTGAAAAATGCTCAACAACGATTCACACTAAACTCCTTCTGCAAGTGTCCATAAACTCATGTCCCTGTAACAATAATTAGGGATTCCTATTGGAGAAGGACAATGAAATGATTAACTCATCCTAATTCTAAAGTGGGAGGTTTGGATATCTTGTCACCACCAGCACCACCACCTACAAGGGCTGGACCTTCTGTTCTGTTCCAGTTCCTGGGTTAGTTAAACTGGTCCTCCCAGCTCTTCAACAGTTGTCCTCTCAACCTCCTTCCTTTCAGCTGATAATCAATAACTTCTAGGACATCTGTTGTTTATTTGATATTTTAAAATCAGGTAACTTACATACTGTACGTGAGCGAGATGGGAAGAGAAGGCGCCGTTTAGTGCGTTTCACTCGTCGAGACTTTCCGCCAGCAGGGTCCGTTGTTGGTCCAGTGTGTGTTGAAATAATCTGGGAATGGATCAAGCTCAGAACCAACATCATAGCTCCTGGAACCAACACCTCTGAAGCAGACACATGTTGCTGCAATAAAATAATGTGTGCGTCCTCATAAGCGCTTTGACTACTGCAACTGGAAGTGGCATTTATGGGTACAACTGAGGAAAACTCATTGACCAATTATAAAGAGAATTTTTATCAATTATCATGACCAATGTAATATCTAGGAGGCCATGGGTTCGAATCTTAGCCTGCAGACTAGCTATCCTGATAGTTCTCTCAGTCCTTCTAGGCGAATAACCTTAACCATTTCCAGTCCAGTGTTGATATATAATTGATATGGTGACTGTGCTTCCATGGACAAATGTGAATACTTTATCAACAAAGTTTGTTTTGTGTTTCTGCGGTCATATTGCGATATGTCACTAGTTTGCACTGTAGACTATACCAACATGTGCATGAATGTTTTGTCTGCCTCCTTCTGCAATCTGAAAATCATAATTTGAACTTCTTGAGGAATGAATGCCATTTATACATTACAGCATATCACGTCCTTCACTTTAAGGTGAATAACAGCCCTCTAGATTGAAGAAATTAGATATAACGTCTTGTGTGATGCAGATGAAGAACCAAGTAGTGATATGTTAAGTGAAGAACTCGATATTGACTACACTGATGAGATTAATTTGAAAACTGAAGGAAAAAATTGTGAGTGAAGAATTGAGCAACAAAATATCAGAAAGTGAGAGTGAGAGTGGGAGTGAAGCAAGTGTTGTTGCGCGTTGGTGGGTGGGAAGACTGTGACAATGTGCGATGATGCATGTGGGGAAATGATGCCACTGAGTAAAGCAGTCAGGCTCTCAGAGAGACAAGGAAGTATATGGGGTGATAAAACATAAAGAGAAACAATTTCAGAAAAATTTTGTGCCAGGTAAAAACATTGTAATAGATGAATCAGTTGGGTTCAAGCACAAAATCATTTTTGAAACTTACAATCCAAAGAAATCAACAAAGAGGGGCATCAGATTATTTGCATTAGCTGACAGTGACAATGGCTATGTTCACAGTATAATTCCAAATTATGGAAAACTTATGGGTGACATGTGTAACTTACCATATTCTGAAAAACCGTTCATTTCAATAACAGTTCTTTCCTTGATGGACAGACTATGACTCAATGTGTCTGGTATTGAAGATTACCACCACTTCACTGACAGATATTATACAGTGTTGAGTTGGCCCAAGAAATGGACAATCAAAAACGTAAGGAAACATTTGGCTTTTTAACTACAGGCCCTCGCTGCACCAACTTTTCGGGCAAAACAGTTCACTTAGCGGCTCAGCAGGCATTTAAAAACCCCATGACCTGGCTGCGGAAATTTTTCTAAACGTGACGAACGGAAAGTGTTAAAATAAGAAATTATCTTGTCATTTAACAGCTTACGATAATGATCACTAATGATAAATTGAATTTCTTGAAAATTACAGAAGTCATGCAATTACATACTGCATATTTCTAGAAAATCAGCAGCATGTTTTCATAGAATTCAAGCATACACCAAAAAGTTCAAAAGAATTTGGGTTTTACATACTCATCACTCATGGGCTGCATAAACTATTCTTGTCATCAGATTGCAATGTCCAAGCTAAAATTTGAGATGAAAAATAATAAGAAATTATTTATCTGGGTATTCTGAATAAGCTCCTGCTAAATCATTCAAGGCTACATAGGCAGCCCCAGGTTTGGCATTATTTAGTGATAACAGCAGATAAAAACTACTTGACATAGATGTAACCAGAGAGAAGCAGTGCACTTATGGAAATGGCACATAAAGTTTGTTTACAGCCTATAAAAAGGATCATGGAAATGCCAAAATAAAATGTGTATGTAAGGAAAACAGAGAGATGACTCTACGATGGGGTACCCAAAAGAAACCGAACTAATTTTTTTGTGGGCAGAGCTTTTGTAGTACCACGTTTTGCCGCTGTGAGCGCATAGAGCTAACATTCCTAAGTCGATAAGCTGACTACCGTTGCTTCAGAAGGTAAGGACTAGTTTCGGCAGAGTTTATAGTGACAACTGTTTTTGCAATGGCTGATTTTCGTGCGGCGATGAAATTCTGCTTTTTGCTCGGGAAAAGTGGAACAGAAACTCTTGAAATGTTAAAAACGGCGTACAAGGACGATGCTATGGGGAAAACTCAAAGTGTTTGAGTGGTTTTCCCGTTTCAAAAATGGTGAAATGTCAATTGATGGCAAACCTCATTCTGGTCGTCCTTCCACGGCCCGAACACATGAAAATGTTGAAAAAATTCGTGAAATCATCAAGGAAGATTGACGATGGACCATTGAAGAAATTGTGGAGTTGTCGGGAGTGACTTGGAGCAGTCGGGTGACTGGTTTTTCCATCATGACAATGCCCTTGCTCACACAGCCCTGTCTGTACGACAATTCTTGACAAAAAATGGTATGACCCCTGTTCCTCACCCTCCATACTCACCCGACCTTGCCCCGTGCGACTTTTTTTTGTTTCCTCGAATGAAAAGAGACATGAAAGGAAAGCGTTTTGCTGAAGTTGCTGAGGTGAAGGAAAAAACGACGGAGACGCTGTCAAGCATCTCAAAAGATGAATTTAGACAATGTTTTGAAAAATGGAATAAAAGACTAGACTATTAGTGTAAGTGGAGAGTACTTTGAAGGGGATTGAAGGTTTGTGTTTAAAATTTGAATAAATAAGTTTAATAAAAAATAAGTTCAGTTTCTTTTGGGTACCCCCTCGTATGCTGTACCATTTATGTAATAGAGTTTAAACAGGCAAAGATTAACTGGAATTTTGAAAGAAATGCAATTTATGTCCAATATTTAATAATTTAAAGAGTGTGAATGAATACCATTGTTTTCTTTATTAGGGAACACAGTCTCATAGATGGTTATGAACATTTTGGAGCAACCTGCTGCCTCTAACTTCAGAAGAGAAGACAGAGGCAGAAGTTCTTCAGAAACACTGGTAACCATCTACCAGATTATGTAGGGTCATACACAGAAAGACCACAATTTACATTTTCACTATTCAAAAAATTTCAAAATCTCAATTTTTATCAAGTACCAATAAAAATGTACAATAAAGTGATTCCCTTTGCTCATTAAAGAAATTCACCTACCTCAGCTGAATCTTCTTCAGTATAATTGGTGCAGCAGAAACAGTAAAGTGCCATATTGAATAGCTGTAATATATATAAGAGGAGCAGAAGGCAGAACACTCTGGATGATGTCTGCTGGATCCACCACCGACTGTAAGCAGGCAGCAAGAAGAGTCGCAATGCTGCTAACCTAGTAACTGTCAAAAGGCCATGTTTTGGCTTGGCCTTGGGAAATGATGAACCTAGAGTAAATTCAAGATTTTGTTATTAAGTCATATTAGTGGCAAAATCATATTAATCCAAGTTCCAAATTATGTTTCTGTTCTAAGAAAAAACATATAAAATTGTCAGTCAATGTATAATATTGATTTTATAACTTTAAACCACAATATTAAGCATGATCTGAGAGTACAAATACTACAAGAAAGTCGGTTAAATTAATGACACAGCAGTATGGACACTTGCATTACACTTCAAAATACAGGATCCTCTGAGAGCATAAAAATGAAGCTGCTGAAGAGAGGGACAAACCATTCTGACAGGACAACCCACTCTAGCCAAAATATCAATGGATAATGATACAGCATAATGAAGAAATAGCATGTGCTGTATTGATTTGTAAAGTGTGCAGATCAGTGATGGTGCTATAATTACTTGTAGTTACAACCTGTAAGTGGTCAACAAATCCAATCTCTAATCCATACCTTGTCTATAGTCACTCATATACGTAACACTATGTAATAAATAACTGGAGACTCTTTTATTATACGTATCTCTGAACAATACTAACAAAAATAAATGAGGTTAAAGAACTTCAGAGAATACATAATGGAAATGTTTATTATTTAGTTTAAAAAACTATTATTATTTTGTATGCTCTCCAAAACACAAAACGGTTAGAAAACAAATTGTGAGTGAGAACAATATTCTCAATAAAATATTTAGACCTAAGAAGTGATCAATTTAGGATATTACATAACAGGGCATTGTGTGGTTTATACAGGTCAGTTGGTATTGAAGTGTTAAGACATAGCTTAGATGGGCTGGGTATGCAGCGAGGAAGATGAGGAATACATATAAAATTGTGATGGGGAAACTCTTGTGAAATGTCAGCTTGGAAGACAAAGAAGGGGACTGGGGGATAGTATCAAGATGGATTGTAGAGAGAGACAGAAATATATTATGAGGATAGGAGTTAGGTTAACAGTGTTCTACAGTACAGTACTTGCCACGGATTATGGCTGATGGGCTTGGCTGTGCTGCAGCAACAGACTGTCCATACGTCAAAATGAATCAGTGCCGTTTCAGTTGTAGTTATCTAGATTAGAGGAGTTCTCTCACCACATTATAGATAAATTTACTACATTATACACATATTTTTCTTGTTTCAGTTTTAGTGTCAGTGTTAAGTCATAATGACAGACCAAGGATATGGAGGCAACCGTTATAAAAATGTGTGAGAGACTAGTTTTCAGACTTTACAGTTATATCAAGCAAGAAGCAGATGCTGGGCAGCCACTCTGTGATGTTAACAAAGTACAACAAAGCTCTACTGAAGACTGTAGCAATGTAGGGATCAGTATTGTGGGGAGAATTGTGAGCTCAAGTCATCCTCGAAAATAAGTGAAAAATAGTAACAGAGTAAGAAAATGGGCAATAGCAGTAGCGATGATAAGGCTTTAGAACAAATGAACTGGCAAGTTTACTTTATTTTAGCTTTGTAATTAAATTTTAATGATTAACAGGATGCACACATTCAACTACAATTAGCTGCTCCTGTCTAACCAACACTTGACTAGAAGCAGGAAGTGATCTGACAATGTTGCAAAATATATCTTAATCTCCTTCAGCATAACCACAGCCTGTCAAGTATCATTACCACTATAACATACCTCTAACCAGGTCCACATCTATAAGTTCTGTCTTCAGCTTAGCTGTTTTCTTGGGAACATGGGTGAGACCATGAAGGATCCGCTGCTCGATAGTTTTTTCCCACTGCTGCTTATCATAGGTACCAATTTTTTTCTGATACCTGAAATGGAGCATAATGAAACTATATTGTAACTAACACTGAATGAAGCTGCTTGTGATCTAGACTATGTCTGTGGTTATGAACGGTCCAGTTCTCAAGGTGATAAACACATATCCCAGACAGAGATAAAAGACTTAAACATGAAAGATAAGTTTGATAGAATTCACTCTTTCCTACTGAAGATAAGACTGATACTTAATTTCAGCTGTACACAGCATCATAATGTGTGGGATACAATCTATGAAATTTATGCATTCCACATCAGAAGTGGTAATTGTGGTTTTATAAAATCAACGTAGCCAACTTTTTCTCATTTGTGCAGCACCTTGGTCAGATAACAATGACAAAGACTTGTCAGTAGACTATAAACACATACATGCTACATGTATATGCTACAGACATTAGCACAATGTATTTCCATTGGTTGGGACAAAATTGTCACAAGGAAGGACAAAACGAGAGAATCTGAGCAATTGGAGGAAGATCAAGAACACAGGAATTTCACGTTATGTTCCTGACCAAAATGATAAGCAGACAGGTACTGTTGGATAATTTGGATGTTTGTCTTGGCAATAAATGCAAGTACAGTATGATACAATTAAGTTCAATGTTCATTTCAAGATACTGACTGTGGCTTTTGGAAATAACCCAAATCAAAATTCAGGTTTAAATAAAAGAGCATGCAAAATCTGGTTTTATCAACTATAATGTGTATTTAGTTTTCACAGCCATGTTACTTCATTACAATAATAGTGTCACCAAGCAGAAATGCTATCATGACTTGATCTGAATTAAGCTTTGTGGGAGATATTATTTATTTATTATTTATTATTTAGCTGAGTGTAATTTGATATAATGGAATTTATATAAGGTGGATTCAAGAATATGTAGAAGAAGGTTCTAAATTTAATGCTTAAAATATGCATAACTGTTCACAGCCTGATAAAGATACAATGACACCATAAAAAGGGATCAAACATCCCACTGCAGGAAAAGCTTTCAAGACTGAATATGATAAAAATGTTAACGAATTTGATGGAAGATTATTATGATGCCTGTAATCATTATACATGAATATATTTGATTTGGAAACTGAGGAATATTCAAGAATAGAGATTAAACTAAAAACAAAAAATGTACAAGTTTGTTTACAAAAACATTATATTACAAAATGAATTTAAGTGGGATGTGAAGAACATATATTGCGAGTATCTTAAGTGAAAGTCCTCAGGAAAACATTCAGGTCTAGATTATCCAGGATTTGAGGTTCTCACAATAGTGGCTATAAAGAGTTACATCTTCTGCAATATAATGTGACGTAGACCAGTGAAAGTCAATGGATGTTTCAGAGGAACATGTTGCCTCCATCTACAGGGCTGAAGAGTAAGCCAAGCAAGAAAGCAGCATGAAGCAAGCAGCTTGTTTGGCTGACTCTTCAACCCTGAAAATGGAGAAGACATTTTCTTTTGAAACGTCAGTTGACTTTTGCCAGACTGCATGCCTTATATCCCAGAAGACAGAAATTTTAAGATATAAAGATTAGATTAAAGTGGTTGGCATTATATGACACCTGCACGGCAACCATCTATTATCACTTGTGCATCCAAATTTGAAGAATAGCACAATAGATAGTGCATTTCAAATGCAGTCAGTACTGCCCATAATGGGGTGTTCTGATAGTCATTTGGCTTCATGAAATGGGAGTCGCAGAAGATCAAACCTTAGTTCATCTAGAACATTGTAGTCACATAGCATGAGTGAAGCTGTTTCTTTTTTGTCTTGGCCTTGTGTAAGTGGGAAATTTACACCTAAGAAGTGGGTCATTTTAGGAATTACATGACAATAACTTCACGATTTACACAGGTCAGTTAGTACTGTTAGGATTGTGAACATGCACTGCTAGATTGCTGCAGAAAGAATCATGAGGGCTATTCGGAAATAAACTATGTTTCTTTTAGGCAACTAATGTAGGAGTGGGGGAGAGCTCATATATGCAAGGTAGCATCACAAGACTCATTGCCTTGTAAACCATGGTCACCTAGTGTTTGTTCTTGTGTCTACGTCTACAGTGTGAGTTATGATGTGTCCTGCAATTGGTAATCGCACTAGCTGTGAAATTTGTGGTGTTATTCACTTTCTTCATACTTATTTAATGGCAAAGTGGCCTCCATAGTCTAGGGGTAACATACCCACCTCATGACTCAAGGTACGCGGGTTGAAACCCGGTGGAGGTCGTGGAATTTTTAAGGGTGGAAAAATTCAGGGAACAAGTCCTCTGGGAGGGACTCTAAGCCATGGGTCCCGTGTCGTAGATTTACAGCATGTAAAAGATCCTCATGTCTCTAGAGACCTCTCAGCAAAATTAGGTAAAAAGTTTCCCGCCCAAGTAGTTTCCAATGTCTCCGGTAGATGGGGAAGTATTAGGTACCACTGCCAGTAGAGAAGCCGAACTCGCTGGCTGAATGGGGCTGATAGTGAGCACCAGTTCTGGAAGGGTATGGCGACTGGTAGAATATCAAAGGGGGATGCACAATAGATCAACAACTGGTCGCGGTGCATGGGAAAACCCACCCCCTCCAATAATGAATGAATGAATGAAAGAATGAATTTAATGGCAAAGTAATATTACGTAAATACAGTGATGTATTGGTGGTGGACACTCAGTGAGATTATACAGTCCTTCAGGCAGAGGTGAGACTGGACAGACTCGAGCATATGTGCATGTGGGGGGGCATATGCGCACATGAAAGTTGAATTAAAAATTTCACAACAAAACTGTAAACTTAACATGTGTGTGTGTGTGTGTGTGTATACACGCACATGCGCGTATATGTGCACATGGGCATATATGACTGAAAAGGACTGTGACAACAAAATCTGTAATAAACATGCTAAGTTATTGACACTAGAAGTGGATTAAATATGCCAGGCTATATAGGAACCTGTCATCAAAAAACAAGCAAAAAGATATAGAAGCTTCAAGTTTAAATGTCATAATGGAACATGAATTAAATAAAAAGGCATATACTGATAACAAACATCAAAATATTATAAATGCTGCAGTTAGCATCTCTGGGATAATGGGCAATGTGCCACAAAGATGGAAGGTATGGCACTCATCATAAAATCAGCATCTGATCACTCAAACCAACTTACTTTGCGTAGGCCCAGACTGAGTGTGATTGTGGTCAGGAACTACTAATATGTATGAACAATGACATGTTTTGAAAATGGATAGGAACTGTGTACACACTGACATGCTTTGAAAGAACAGACTGCACAAAAAATTCTAATATTTTTTAATTATTTTTCCCAATTTCATACTTTATTTCAACCTTTTATTAAAGACTAACAGTCAATATAACAACATGAAAATTTTCACTTCCTGCTGAGTGATCACTGCAGAAAAATTAAATTTTAATTCTTCCTCATAGAGGTGAAGCGAAGGTCTGGCAACCATATAAATGACATCCAACAGGGAAATGTCATGTACCCGACATGGTAGGGACTGCTAAGAAAGTAAATGTTCATGAAAAAGGCATAATAAGGATGAACATTCACTGTATAGTTATTTTGTTTGTAGAAAATCTTGGAGTCAGTTATTATAAATTCATGATATACAGGCCACACTCCAATTTTTATCAGCATTAGTATATTTTTATTTTATTTATGACAAGTACAAACAGAACTAAATCAAAATAAAGAATTCATAATTCAACTGTAAATAACAACCTCAGTCCTATGGGTGCTGTTAATTAAACTACAAAGAAACATGTTTCTTTTAGGAAGAAAGAGTTCTTTTACCATGTAACAATTTCTCGTAGTCCCATGGTTCAACCTGTCCCAGCAGTCTACTGGCAGTAACACCTGGCTACATTGCAAGACGCTGATTGCTGGCTCCCTGCAAACAAACACATGCACATTAACTACTTCCACATTCAACGAACTATTCATTACAAATTGAAGAGAAGGCTGTAAATAAATTGACTATACTTCAGGTACAAAGTGGTCAGAATATATTTAGCACAACCTTGAAACTGTGCCAAGGAACTAAAGCTACTGATAAAAGCCTTGACCATCATATGCACAAATCTCCTGGGGTCTGCTGTCAATGTTATACCAAACATCCAACATTATAACTTATATTCTTGTCTGACAACAGGCATTAAATATTTATTTTAAATTTCCACACAAAGAGGTCAATGTCAACATAGCTCCATTCTTGTTTCTGCTTTGCTATAGTTTATCATACATAATGCTACACTTTAAATGCTTAAACATTCTGTAATGTTACACTATATCTGTTAGGTATAAGAATTTACATTTGGGTTTCATCAAATGCTGGGAAGTTCTTGAGTAGCTGCACAACTGGTGACTTCTCAAGAAGGGATCAGTTCCATGAGTGAGTGAGTGAGTGAGTGAAGTATAAGAATGTATCTACTAATGCCTAAATAAAAACAATAAAACAGAATTCTAGATAATTAACAGAAACATGTAAATTACATGTATTTTATTTTTTTTCATGATTCATGGCAAGTAGTCATATTTAAGTAGAAGTGAAGAACCAACATGGCAGAGTCTCAAGGAAAAATTTGATTTCAAAAATAAAATAAAAATAACAGTTTACTAAAGCTATACAATGTTGTATTCAAAATAATTCATGTTTGAGACACAAGTTATGAGGATGAATAGCAAAAGGAGATAATCTGTACAAAAAAGTCTCTTAAAATCGTCTTTCAGATAACTTTAAGAGACTTCAACCTACAAACATAACTAACAAAATAAAAAATTATCAGTTGCATTGGAAAAAGCATGTAGAGACAATATGAGAAGACAGATCTCATAAAATACTTTATATATATGCTCCACATGGAGAAAGATATGTAGAAATACATAGGAATATATGAAAATATTGATCTAACTTATGAACCAAAACAGGCTGAAAATGTATTCAGTTCTTATGAAGAGAGAAACTGAAGGATTACATATATTAAGTTGTCCGCAAGAGTTGAATGCCACAGAGCTTGGCCAGGGAATGGAAGAGTTGAGATTCAAACTGACGTCCCTGGTCAGTGGTGATGGTCTCCGGGCAACCAAAGCAGCATATCCAGCTGGTTAGTAGGGCTTGTGCCACTGTGTCGGCTGTGATGTCTGGGATGGGGATGGCTTCTAGCCAGCGGGTGAAACGGTCGACTGTAGTGAGGGAGTATGTACAGCCTCCTAACGTCAGAAGGGGTCCCACGAGGTCTATGTGGACATGAAGAAATCTGGCTGCCGGCGGTCTAAAGTCGGCCAATGGAGTGACTGTGTGGTGTGAGACTTTGGAGTGTTGGCAGGACTGGCAAGCCCTTGCCCAGGTGCGGCAATCCCTCTGCACGCGTGGTCACACAAAACGTTGTGTGACCAGTTTCGCCGTTGCTTTGCTGCCTGAGTGTGACAGATCATGGAAGGGCTGGAACAACTGGAGCAGTAGAGGAGCTGGAATGTACAGCCGAGGTTTCCTGGCAGAGGTATCGCAGTAGACATACACTGTGGTACCGGGGATTGGTAGCTTCTCGAGCTGCAAAGCAGTGTTCGACTGCTAAAGTGATTGGAGTTCATCGTCGCTGTCCTGCGATGCGATCAATGTGTCGTAGGATGGTGGCGCAGTGACAGACTCGACACGGGAGAGAGCGTCGGCAACAACGTTGTCCTGTCCAGAGATGTGTCAGATGACAAGTTGTGAATTGTGCTATGAAATCCAGGTGGTTCAATTGCCTTGGTGCGCATTTGTCTCGTTTTTGCTGGAAGGCGTAGGTAATAGGTTTGTGATCTGTGAAGATGCTGAAGTGGTGCGCTTCCAGCATGTGGCGAAAATTCTTTACAGCCTCAGAGATGGCCAGCACCTCGTGGTTGTATGCACTGTATTTTTGCTGGGCCGGGTTGAGTTTCTTTGAGAAGAATGCCAGGGGCTGCCAGGTGTTCTTGACGCACTGCTGTAGCATGGCACCCATGGTGGACGTGGAGGCATCTGTGATGAGTGCAAGTGGCGAGGATGGACTGGGGTGAGCCAGTAGTGTGGCACGTGACAAACTCGCCTTGCAGTCTTTGAAGGCCTTGTGGAGCTCCAGTATCCAAGTGATGGGGTGAGAGCCTTTGACTTTGGGTCTGGAGAGGACGTCATGAAGTGGTGCCTGGTGTGCTGCTGCGTGGGGCAGAAATCACCTGTAGTAGTTCAACATGACCAGGAAACGGCAGAGCTGACTGGCGGTTCTGGGAGGTTGACATTCTTGAAGGTGAGTAACACATTCTTCCAGCGGTTAGGAGCCCTCAGCAGACACCTTATAACCGAGGAAGGTGACCTCTGGTACTCGGAAGACGCACCACACTGGGTTGAGGATCCCGTACTTCTGCAGTCGGTCGAAGAGGACCCAGCAACAGCTGTTTACTTGCTTTGCCTAGCAATGGCTGTTCACTCGCCGTTTCTAAGCAATGATATTTGCGTTGTCACTGTAATGTTTGCTTGAATGTGGGCAGTTCCCACAGCTTGTTTCTACTCTGCTACTTGTTCTAATAACAATATTATTACCTTCACGAGGGGCACACAGTATTGTAGTTGGTTGAGGCACTATGCTACAAGCTGGAGGTCGTAGGTTCAAGTCCCAATGAGGTTGACTTTTTTTCAATTCACCTAATCCTTCCAGCCACACTATGGCTCTAGGGTTGACTCAGCCTCTAAAAGAAATGAGTACCAGGTTATCTTCCTGGGGGGTAAAGGGTGGCCAGCGCATAAGGCTGACAACCTTACTGCCATCTGTGAGCCAACTGCTTAGAGAAAATGTGGGGGCCTCAATGGCTCACAACCCTATGGGCCTGCACAGACTGTTACATGGGTAGCTTTACCTTCTGTTATTAACTTCATGAAGAGTAGTATGTACTTGAAGCCAAATACATGAAATGGTCACATAATATGCGATAAAACTGAAATACATATATGTTTATATATCCACTCGTTCATCTGACTCAGACAAAATTAATGAGCTTGAAACAGACAGTAAGATGAAGAACATCAGGGACTCTTGGGGCAGAAAAGAAAAATTAAAAAGAGCTACCAACCTAGAACTAACTTGGCAGAAGATGAGAAGCCAGTTTGTTTGTTGATCCCCCTCAATGTTTTGAACCAACTAACTCTATGGAGCTGAGTCCTTTCTGAAAAAGCTGGTAGTCAATGTTCTGAACAGTTGGAAGAATTACTTCTGTCTGTTACTGAATGCACGTAGGGCCATGACATAGCTCAAGTGGTTAGTCGCTGGCTTTCTACCGCAGTGGCCGGGTTTGATCCAGGGTCTGGTCAAGTGGGATTTGTGGTGGACAAAGTGGCGCTGGAGCAGGTTTTCTCAGAGTACTTCGGTTTCCCCTGCCAATCTTCATTCCACCAATTGCTCCACAATCACCCTCACCTATCATCTGTGGCTGGTAAAATAGGCCAGAAGTGGCCGCAGTACAAGGGACTTAGTCCCATCCCACTAGCAATAAAAAAATACTGAATGCATGTGGGGTTAATGATGCTAGGCTAACCGAAATATATACTGCTGTGTTATTACTAACTTGGTACGGTTCTTTCACGATGAAGAGTGCTGTTGAGAAGTAGAAGATGTATAAATTGCTTTGTACTGATAAAACACTGGCAGAATTAATCCACTCAGCAGGTAAAATATTAATCAGCTGAGACTGATAAATTTATTATTTCTATTTAAATAGGGAAGAATTCCTACAGCCACGGAAGGCATCTATTATTGCACCTATTTTACAAAAAGGGTATAAAATTGGTTGTAGTAAGTACACTTGGTCGTCGACTTATGACCAACTTCCATTCTGACTGACAGATTGTAAGTCGATCTGGTTGTATGTTGGCCATATATTTATTAACAGTATTTTTTAACCTTTCTAATCTTTTTATCATCTTTATAATTTATTTTTAAAAACTATTACATTTTAATCTTTTATTTTTCATTTTAAATACAGTAATGTTTTTATCTTTTACTTAGCAATACTGTACATATCTTCGTTTCTACGCCTTAGCTATCTGTACATACTGTGGTTGTAACTGCGGCCGGATGTAAGTCGACGACCAAGTGTACGTCATATTACTGTTATCAATTTTATATACAATTTTAACCAACATTTTTTGTCTCAAGTTTAATTCTGTGTGTAGATGAAATTATGTGGGATCATCACTCTGGACTGTCATGTAATATGTTAATTATCGATCAGATAGAGCAGATATTCTGCATTCATCACATACTGCAGGGAAAAGAATGGGAGTAAAATGGCAAAACGTAGCTGACTTTTGGACTTCAAGAAACCTAAGATTCAGTTAACAGGAGTATAATGTTCATCATTCTCATTCAATTTGCCACACCAATGAAACTAGTTGGGCCAATTAACCTGTGTTTAAACAAAAATTATTGTAAAGTTCATACAGACAAACATTTCTCTAATGCATTTCCCATTCAGAATTGTCTGAAACAAGGATATACCTTTTCACCATGAAGGAATGAAGTTAAATGACACACCATCTTCTGGTCTATGATGATACTAATTTAATGGATGAATACATAAGTATCAAAATCAACAAAAAAGCTCTTTACATGCTGGTAAGAAGGCTGGCCTAGAAGTAAATGCTGTAAGCATAAAGTATATATTGATGCCACCAGAATGCAGAATGAAATCATACTATAAGGACAGCTAATAAATAATTTAAAATGTGGCAAATCTTGGATATCTGGGAGCAACAATAACAAGTAAAAACTGTACTGTAGTTTTGTATGGATATGAATTCTGGTGTCTTCCTGTATAGGAAGAAAAAAGATTGATGGTATTTGAGAACAGGGTGCTGAGGAATATATTTGGGTACAAGAAAGAGGAAGTGACAGAAGGCTGGAGAAAACTGACTAATGGAGAGCTCCATAATTTGTACTCTTCACCAAACTTATACTAGGATGGACAGTATTGTCTTGTAGGAACATGACACTGAGTAGTCCAGTGGATGTTTACTGACATTTCAGGGGAGCATATTGCCTTCATCTTCAGGCTTACTCTTTGGCCTTGCAGGTGGAGGTACTGTAGTCCATCAAAATATTGGTGAATTTCTACCAGAATACATGGCATCACATGCCAGAAAATACTACTCTTCATGTTCTGCTTAATCCTGGCAAACTGACTTCTACACAATTCTTCAAGTTTAGGTTAATATTAATTTGAACCTTGTTGTTCTTTCTCCTCATATACAGTATACTATTATAGCTTACTTAAATAGTAGTTATTGCCTTATTAATCACAAATTTTATGATGTCTGATTTACTGAAATTTAAAGTAAGCTTACTGCCCATGAACCATTTGTTTGATAATTCTATACTTCAACTTATATATGGTTCAGCATTATTAAACTAGTAGATACTAATATTTACTAGCATTTTTATCTATTCCATAATAAGCTAGTTCAGTCATTAATATTGTCACGTGTTTTGTGTGCCACGCGACAAATAAATTCATGTGGGTCTCGGATTCAGTGAATCTTTATTGGACACTCACACTTATACACCATACAATTATAATCACTTGTGGTATCACGTGACTTCTGCGACGTCTCGACTATCCTTGGCGGCAGATATTCCAAGACTATCTTCTTCGGCGGCTACTATATTTCAACTAACTAACTCTTGTTGAAGCTGGGCTTTTATAACCTTGGCGGTTGCTATGCATTGAACCTTCTGTTGTAACTGTGGAGACTCCTGTTAGAACTACAGTACTGCTATTGTTATTTCCTATGCAACGGTCTAGTCTACACTTTCCATGGAAGTCTCTCTTCTGGGTTCCGAACATGTGACAATATATTATAGTTAACACAGCCAATGGCCTTAAATAAGCTCATAGAAAACTACTGATACATCAGTTTTAGTACTGAGTGCCTGCATTATTTTATGAATATGTCTGAATGTGAATTTGTTAGTGGGCATGTCCTTCCCAAATGTTCATTACCAAAGAGCCATTAGAGTTTCAATGGTATGTTACTCTTTCACGTATAATTTTCTGAAACATTACAGGAACCCAGTTACAAAAATAAAAAAACCTGGCCTATAATTGTCAACTTGAACCCTTTCTTGTGCATGCGTTCCATAAGTGACCATTTAAGTCATTCTGGTACAAGCAGTTGATGGGTAATGACACATGTGACAGAGGTTTAGTGATAAGAACTCAGTAAGTTATTAGTTTACTAAATGTTTCATCATATCTAGTTGAGTTTTTACCTTCAAGAGACTGAATAACGTTTTCTTTGCAGTTTTGGGTCAAGGATAGTGTTAAAAATGCACTTTGAAACACTTTTTATGTATTAATGAATGAATATTATTTCCATCCATTAAAACTGACATTGAAAGCATACGGCTGTTAAGAAACCGCTCTTTTCAATATTACTGTTTATTTGCCAGATCATTACTGTATGGTACATTATCAGTTCCCCCTCGTTGGTGGCTCCACCTAATCGTGGTGAGGGGGTTTGAGTATGCCAATGACCCTGAGAGCTATACCAGCGGTAGCGTAGCTACTGGCAGGGCCTCCCTTGCTGGACAGGTCAAAGGGTAGGCATCAGACGAAGAGAGACACCAAAAACTGATGCCGGAAGCAGCGTCATCAGCAGCGACTTGAAGCACAGAGTAAATAATGCTCGAGATGGTTCAAGTTCGTATAGCAACAGGCGTGACCAGAGTGGTTTGAACGNTCATCATATCTAGTTGAGTTTTTACCTTCAAGAGACTGAATAACGTTTTCTTTGCAGTTTTGGGCCAAGGATAATGTTAAAAATGCACTTTGAAACACTTTTTATGTATTTAATGAATGAATATTATTTCCATCCATTAAAACTAACATTGAAAGCATACAGCTGTTAAGAAACCGCTGTATCATTACTGTATGGTACATTATCAGTTACTCTTTATACTATACTCTATAAACTATTTTTATTTTGTTGTCTTAGTTCACTATTTGTGTACTGCAATGCTGTCACCTGGCTCATTTGAAAACACTGGCTATGATTTTACAGTACATTCTTTAATCACTTTTTAGTTCAGAGGTACTGCTATTACTGCTGCAGATGTAAAGTTCCCTTTTATTTTTATAAAATAGTTTTGAATTCCAAACTTCCACAGTGACACTATACAATGAGACCCTTCTAGGCAATTGGGTGAGCCAATGCAGAGTTGCTGTATGATGTTTTGGAGACTGTTTCTGTCTCCAGTAACATCACAGACCATCTGGCTCCACCCACCATTCATCATGCTATATGCAATGGAATGATGGCTCTATGTATACATATACCATAAGGTCAGAACACTCACTACAGCAGCATGTTGGACACCAACTCTACATTGGTACAGTAGATAGCCTGAGAAGGGATCATTATCCACTAAGTTAGTTAACCACTATTTCCTGACTTCATCTGTTTTAAATCCAAAACTTGTTTCACGATATGAATAAGTGTATTATACAAGCAATTACTTTCTGTCATCTAGATCTGGACTGCTAAGCACAATTCCCACTTTTCACTCTGCAGGTAACATAAAATGAATTTTGCTAGTTGTTTGTTAGTCTATTATCAACCATCAACAAAGTCTGAATTCAGTGGCCGATCAAAGCATCGGAAAGCATAATTTGGATATCTAGAGTTCCCTCACTTAAAAGAAATCTGTATGATTCTCACTAGAGAGTAGTATTAATAACATTCGTTGTTAGTAGTCTTAGATCTTTGTTACTAAGAAATTATTATGGCAAGGAAGCTCTGGATGGGCTCGGAGACTTCAAATTAGGAGGGCAAATCATTCAAACTGTGAAATATGCAGATGACCTTGTGTTAATGGCTAAGGAAGAAACTGTGCTACAGGGCATGATTGATAGACTAATTGAAATTGGAAGGTGCTATGGCATGGAAATGAATGTGGAGAAAACCAAAAGTAATGAAAATTTNTGGACTTAAATTTGAGGAAGAAACTAGTGAAATGCTACATTTCAAGCATAGCTCTGTATGGGGCTGAAACATGGACACTTAGGGCAGTAGATCAGAAACACCTGGAAAGTTTCGAAACGTGGTGTTGGAGAAGGATGGAGGAGATCAGTTGGACCGATTATGTGAGAAATGAAGAAGTGTTAATTAGAGTCAGTGAGCAGAGGACTATCCTACACGAAATAAGAAAACAGAAGGCTAATTGGATTGGTCATGTTTTACGCAGAAACTGCCTTCTAAAAGAAGTTATTGAAAGAAAGATAGAGGGGCGGATATAAGTAACAAGAAGACGAGGAAGAAGACTAAGAAGATGCTGGATGACCTTTGGGACAGAAGAGGATACTGTCATTTGAAGGAGAAAGCTCTAGATCGCATTAAGTGGAGGAATTGTTTTGGAAGAGACTGTGGACCTGTCGTCTGACAGATTACTGATGATGATGATGATGCATTCAGAGACTGTGAATATCTCCTACATTCTCATTCTGAACAGCAGTGTTTTTCTGTATGAATACCCTAATGAATATGAATCAAATCATATCCCAGTTCGGGTAAGCAACCGTAACGTTTGTTCGAAAAATAGGGCATTCTTCGAAAGAAATTAAATGCAACCAATTTAGACGAAAACACTTATAAAATCATACGTATTTCTTATTCATGCTCTTTAAACAAAATCACAACACGCACTTCTTTAAAACATGTTTAATGTCATCTCTTTATTTACCTGTGTCCAACGCGGTCCCATGTTCTGTCAAATCGTCTGCACGGTCTGCACAATACCTCCCCCACAACACATATTCTTTGTTCGAGCAAGTTGGCCACCTGCTTCCTAGATGTAGCAGCGGTACCAAGTGTAATCGATGCAAGTGGCAAGGCCTTTCATAATAAAAAAAGTTTCATTTTGTTTGATAACTGTTTAACCTTTTTATATGTAATTCAGTGACGTTGAAAATATACTGGGTTGATTTCAGAAAACAACTGAAATATCTCGAGAAATAAAGTAAAACCTAGAAGATCTCAGAACTGCCATCTCTACGCACCTACATGAACTAGATTGTCCGGAAATGTAAGGAATCGATCATAATAAACCTATCGCAATTAATCGAATCGCGCTAGTGTGAGCCAATCAGAGAATCCTGTACGCTTTGGTCGCTTTGATCGCTTTGATAGTCTTCGATTGCAGAGAAAGGTTTAATTGTGCTTGTTTCGTTTACTTCGGTTTAAATTCAACAGACTGTACGAAAATGACGGATCAGAGTTTAATGGACAAATCTTTACGATCAGTTTTTGGTGAGCTTGAAGTGAAAATAATATGTGTATACACAAAGTGTGTACATACCAATATTGTGTGCATAACCTTATTTTAGGTAACCGCTATGCGGAGCGCCTTAGTAAAAAAAATATTTTTATTTCAGTGGGAAATATTCCTTATGAAGCTACAGAGGAGAAGCTGAAGGATATATTTAGTGAGGTTGGGCCAGTATTGTCATTCAAGTATGTAACAGACTTTTTAACATAAGCAGGATGTAGTTTACACAATAAAGAACACTGAACGAATTAATGCATGAGTGCATAGTTGGAAATTTTTCTTTTCCACCTGTACATTTTATATTTGGGTAATGTAATAATGAAGTCTTTTTTTTTTATATTTCTTTGGTTGGGGTGAGACTGAGTCCACTTTGAATGTAGGCCACTAATGGGCCTGTTGTGTGAGTGCATAGTTGGAAATTTTTCTTTCCACTTGTACATTTTATATTTGGGTAATGTAATAATGAAGTCTTTTTTTTTTATATTTCTTTGGTTGGGGTGAGACTGAGTCCACTTTGAATGTAGGCCACTAATGGGCCTGTTGTGTGAGCTCCAGATCATAGGTGAGTATTGAGCATTAGGTGGAGTGAGGATTGGCAAGGGAAACCGAAGTACTTGGAGGAAAGTTGCCCCAGCACCACTTTGTTTTCCACTAATCCCACATGACCTGACCTGGGATTGAACATTGGCCACTGTGGTGGGAAGCCAGTGACTAACTGCCTGAGCTATGGCATGGCCTTAAGATGAAGTAACCTACTTAGCAGTCAGTAGAATGGTTTGGAATTGAAATACAGATTGAATAAAAATATTTATTAAAAACAGTGATTTCACACTTATGATATATATATATTTTTTTTTTCCTTGGCACTACAGCCCCAGTGGGCCTAGGCCTACCTCCATGAACTCCATTCAGATATATATACTCGTATATAAAAGCAAACAAAGATGCATCCAACAGGTCCTAGTAAGCAGGATGTAAGAAAAGTCAATATCACATTAAAATTACTTAGGAGTACAATACAGTTGGAAAATATTTCCCAGAAACAGATTACAGTACAGTAGACTTAAGTTACATGCTTGAATATTATTAACAATTACATAGCAGTTTTACAGTAACTTCAAAAAATTTCAAAATACTCAAGAGTATGTTTATTACCAAATCAATATACAGAGTGATCATTTTTTGGGTTTCCAGAAAATCATTGTGTTCTTCTGGTGGACAAGATGGCATAATGCATATTACAATTTCTCTTCAGTTTTGCTGCACAGCTACTGTGAAGTTAGCTTATGCAGGATATATTGGCTGAACATTATCTTGAACTGCATATTGCCTGAACCCTTGCTGTATTTCACATGTGCAGAAAGTAGTCATTCATTCCCTCATGTCATTTCCTTTGTCAAAATCCTGTGTGTGAGGTACACATTGAAATAATTGTTCATGTACATGCCTTGCACAGAAAATTGATGTGAAGGAACATATCCAAAGAAAAGTTTGCCCTATTTCCTAGAAAGAACTTAAGCATGTAAGGTGCCAGGAATGAGAACATTGTTAGCATCTGCTGTAACCTGGCAGATTTCATTTTTAATGTGCAAAGGCTGTTGGGTTTTCAGTGCTGTTAGCAGTCTGAATCTTCTGGCCCAAAATGATGGCAGGAATGACTGTTTCTTCTTTCATAATAGCTGAACAGTTCATAAGAAGCTCAACGATGGCTACAATGTGCATGTATAAGAATATACTCATATAGGTTCATTTGCAGCACTGGCTTAAGTAACCTGTTTTGGTATAATTTTTAATGTTTTTGTGACTTTTGCACAATTTCCTACAGATGCCATTTCAGGCTTTGGTATGAGCATCATGGAAGTGAACGATATTTTGATTATTTTGCTTCTCGATGTTTACCGGGAATTCACACAAAATGCAGTGAATGCTGCTTTCTGAAACTGTGAATGAAAAGTTTTTACAGTATTAATAGTCATTTCTTGTCTGCAAGTAATTTTCCCAAACACATTATTTGCGTAATGTGCACCTTGTGATTTATGACCTAATTTATTCCATGGAAGTTCATGAAATCTGAGAAAGGGTTTTTTGATAGAACCTTGTGAAATCACAGTAGTGTTCGAGATGATGGCATAGAATTGAATAACTGATGAAGTCTTACAAAAGATATTTATATCTTTCCAGGTTAGTGTATGATCGTGAAACTGGCAAGCCTAAAGGTTATGGTTTCTGCGAGTACAAGGATCAGGAGACAGCTTTAAGTGCAATGAGAAATTTAAATGGATATGAAATTGGTGGACGAACACTACGTGTGGACAATGCCTGCACAGAGAAATCCCGCATGGAAATGCAAAGTAAGTTGTTTTTGGAAGGCATATTTAAACCAAATGCATATTAAGGCTATGTTGTGTCTGTCCATTCATCCATCCATGCTTTGTCTCGGAAACTATGTTCATGTTTGATGAAATTTTGGTTTGCAGTAAAAGTTGCTGGAATAATTTAATTTTTGGTTTGTACAGGTCCAGTATAATCTTTACATGATAAGTAGGTCAGATTTTATGAATGTTTTAAAAAAAGTGGCTCATTGTACCAAATATTGGTATAGTTAGTACCTTGTAACTTTAGCCATGCAGAAAGGTAAATGCTGTTGTGGAGCATGCGAAGCTGTACGTTCAGAGCTACTTCCTGAGCGGAAAACATTGCCTACAGAGATCAACTAACAAGCAACACAACATACTGTACACCTGACTACACTCCAAGATGCTACATTCCAAACTGGTAGTACCCACCCTGACGTAAGCTGATAAAGACTGCCCCCACCAGCCCTGTGAGAGATGGTATGACCCCTCTACCGTGGCTAGAGTTCCGAGGAACTAACAGTACATGATGTGATATATATATTTCATTAAAATGTAAAACTTTTATTGGAAAAAATTTTTATTGTAAATATTTATTGAGATGACAGATGATTGTGCGGAGTGATATGTGTCTTTTAATTATGTAACAGCATATTTATGAAGAAAGCTGTCTCCTGTGATGTGGCGCTGTGTAGGTGCTGCTAACCTGCTCATGCTGGTTCCTTGCTCGCGGATTTTCCTTCTTTTTTATTCTACCCCGAAGATGGAGGCGATATGTTCCTCTGAAACGTCAGTTAATACAATATCTACATGGCACCACATCCCAGAAGATGGCTTTCTTCATAGTCACTGCTGTGAAAACCTCACATCTTACACAGTACATTTATGTTTGCGATAAATGAAGATCAAAATGAATGAGGTACATGAAAACCCCAGCAAATACATTTGGAAAATATATGTACTGGCTTGAAGTATGCCTTTCCACTCTTGCTTATGTTTAACATTAGAGGTGTTAATTTGGAATTTTCAACCAATGTGATTTTTAGAAATTCTTTTTATATATATGATGTCGAAGGACTCTGCCTCTCACTTCTTTGATGACCTTTGAGATGAAGTGTCCGTTCATGATATTTTGTTTGACCAATGCATAATTATTGCTGGAAACATGAGTAAAGTTGCAAAGATTAAAAATGCAGTGTGTTTCCCATAATCATATTTTATCTGAAAATTATGTCAGCCAAAATTTTATTAAGGGACATTTTTTGTTTCAGTGTTTTATTAAGGAATCATGGAGTCAGTGTGTGTGAATGTCTGTACTTTGTTGTCACATTGCATTTTCACATGAAAGTTATGCCCTCAGTTATATTTTATCAAGGGACACTATCATGTCAGTATTCATCAAAGAATCATGAAGAGTCTGTAGGTGTGAGTTTTAGATGCATGCACACTCTCTCTCTTAAAGACTGGATAAGACACTGTTCATGAATGCCAGAACATTAGGTATACTATGGTAAAAGCTATATTGTGTGCTTGAATTATGTAGCTATAGACACAGGAGGGACCGCCTCTGTGGTCTAGTGGTCAGAGTTCCTGCCTACAAATCCAGAGGTTCCAGGTTCGATTACCAGCGCTACCAGATTTTCTGAGTTGTAGTGGGTCTGGAATGGGGTCCACTCAGTCTTGTGAGGATAATTGAGGAGTTATTTCAAGGAAATAGGGGCTCTGGTCTAGAAAACCGAAATTAACGACCATGGGGATCCGTTGTGTAGACCACATGATACCCTCTATTGGCATTAACTTCACCAACAAGTGGCGGTCGCTTGGTTAGTACAGTTCACTTGCGGACTACAGGCTGCAGAGTTAGATACAGGAGGATGAATTGTAATTGTCTTTATTGATTTGTTGTTTATTAGCTTGTGTTACATTTTACTTTGTGGTGATACTGATTAAAAGTTGTGTTTTTATTTAATTGTAACACTACTTTGATTTTTACAGGTTTGTTACAGGGACCAGTTGTGGAAAATCCATATGGTGAGGCAGTGCAAGCTGATAAAGCACCTGAGGCAATCAGCAAGGCTGTGGCTTCGTTGCCACCAGAACAGATGTTTGAACTTATGAAACAAATGAAACTTTGTGTACAGAATAATCCCAGCGAGGCTCGTGCCATGTTGTTACAGAATCCACAGCTTGCATATGCTTTGCTACAGGCACAAGTGGTCATGAGGATTGTGGATCCCCATGCAGCTGTGGTAATTTGTTTCACTGGTTACTGAAGCAAAACTGTCTGTAAAGTAAAAATAAAGGTATCCCTGTAACAGGCCGTGGTGGCCCATAGGGCTGTGAGATGTTGAGGCTCTCACATTTTCTAGACAATCGGCGCATAGGCGGTGGTGAGGTTGTCAGCCCTATGTGCCGGCTGCCCTTTACCCCCAAGAATATTCCTGGTACTAATTTCTGTTAGAGGCTGAGTCGACCCCAGGGTCATAGTGCAGCTGGAAGGATAATGTCAATTGAAAAAATCCAATGACCTTATCGGGACTTGAACCTGTGACCCTCTGGCTTGTACATTAATTTATAAAAAGACTAGCTGTACCCAGCCACATGTTGCTGTGGCTCAGTCTAATGAAATATTTCAATTCAAACGCAGATCAATTGACACAGCTCAATCCCACCGCCAATTGCTCTGAAAAATAAGGAAAACAGTTAAGAAAACGAAATGAAAAACAATGAAAGAAGAAAAAAATAAACTATACTCACGAAATGAACGCTATGGTAAACGACACAGCTCAATTCCAATGTGGATGTGACGTGTTGCACGTGTCAGTAATGCATGTAGCGTGTTTGGGTATGTCATGCTACAAATAACTTTATGCCATATTAATTATAGTGAATCTTTATTGTAATTCACCTGCACACTTTACAATTATTGCCACTTGCAGTATTAGAGTTACTGGTTACACAATGTCTTGGCCAATACTTCTGTATCTCTTGGCGTCTAGGTTCCAACCTTCTTCAGCGGCAGCTATTCCAAGACTGACTGGGCGAATGAATTCAACCCCCTTTAATACCCTCGGCCGCTGCTATGCAAATGAGCCCTTGTCATAACCCCGGAAATGCTGCTTTGTTGATTCCGCGATTCCTATGCAACGACCCATTGTTATTGTGTTGTCTCTGTGGGAACACTCCGTGTATTCATCGTAACCATGGAGATTCAATACACTATCGCTATTGTTACTTCCTATGCAACGGTCTGTTCTAGCATTTCCATAGGGGTGACTTCTGAATTCCAAATTCAAATTCCGGTTTTCAAAAGATGCATGTTTTTACCTGTCACAGGTGTGACATCTATATAATGGGTATATAAAAACGCGCGTATTCGAATACAACGTTGTGTCAAACTTTCAAAGCAACGGTGAAGAACTTTCGGAGATTTCGAGGGGTAACAAACAAACATTTACATTTTTATTTATATAGATGACATTCCATTTATGAGGAAGAGACTAGCTATAATAGTGTACCCTTACTGCCATAAAGTGTGTGAACTTAATTTCAATGAATATTACAATTCCTATATTTATATCTTTCAGTACTAAAAATATTAACATTATTTTGAATGGTGTTGTCTTCCCTTTCTTTATGATTTCTCACCCTCAACGTTTCAGGGTATGCTACATAAAGCTAATCCAATACCAACCCCTCTGCTACCTGTGGAAAAGCCTCCAGTAGCAAAACCAACTCCTGTGCCAGTTCCTCCAGCTGCTGCACCACGGGAAGAGGGATGGACAGGACCTAGCACAGTGCCAGGAGCTCCGAGAGCAGCTCCTGTTCCTCCAGTGGGGCAAAACCAAACCCCTACATTTGTGGCACCGGATGTGGACTTACGACCAGTGGATCCACGTCTGTCTCGCATGGGTGACCAAGATCTGAGAGTGCCACCAGTTGCCCCAGTACCTGCTCCTCAAGCCGCTCCACGAGATCTACGTGAGAATTTTCTTCCAGAGCAGTAAGTAATTGATCTTGCTCAAGTTATGATGTTTGGATAATTCAACATTCATTGTGGTCATTTATTTGTACATAATGTGTGTTGTCTGTTGCAGCCCCCAACTTGTGGATTCAGCCGAAAGGTTGGTTGTTCACAATTACAGAATGCCTTGTGGCATGTTACAATATAATCTTGTTTTGCTGATTTTAAATTTAAGGTTATCTTCACACATTAAAATGCTTGTGCAGATACAGGTAAATTTTCTATTTACAATTTGTTATTCACTTAAGATATCTATAATATACTCTTGATTATCTGTGCACAGATTATCTATGTGCCTCTTTGGGCTTGTTCACAGCACTGTAGAGCACTTAGCCTGTTCATCTCTTTGTATGTATGGAACAACTTGAGAACTACTGAACAGATTTTTTATGAAATTTGATTTTAGAGAAGTTTATGAAGGGTTGTACTCCATCAGTTTTTATATAGATCATACAGTTTAGTGACTACGTATAGACCTGCACACATATCTCAAGCTCAATAAGTATTTGAGCAAACAATTTTTCAAACAAGCTTTGTAGAAAAAAGGATAATACATGTTTAGTACAGTTTTTCTGTAAATCTTACAGATTAATCAGACACCATATGCACATTTACATATTCAACAGTGACCATGGTCTCCTTATCACACCTGAAGCTTGGATAGCTCAGTCGGTATAGCAATGGGCTATGGGCTGGGGCAAGGGACTTTCCTCTTCTCCACAGCATTTAGACCAGCTTTGGGTCCTGGGGATCTTTCCCCGGGAAAGGGGGGGGTAAAGCAGCTGGGGCGTGAAGCTGACCACACATCTTCTAGTATCAAGGTCAAGAGTAGGCCGTGCTATAGCTCAAGCAATTAGTCATTGGCTTGCCACTGCGGCAGTCTGGGTTTGTGAACAAAGTGGCGCTGGGGCAGGTTTTCTCAAAGTACTTCAGTTTCCCCTGCCAATCTTCATTCCACCAATTGCTCCACAATCACCCTCACCTATCATCTGGGGCTGGTACAATAGGCCAGAAGTGGCCACAGTACACAGGACTTAGCTCCACCCCACTAGCAAAAAAAAGGGGGGGGGGGTGCCGAGTGTCTTGGCTAATCAAGAATTCCCCAAGATTTTACAGACCCCAAAGGTTCATTACCATGTTCATAAGAGCCCTCCTTGGCCATATTAATCCAGTCCACACCACCCCAACCTGAAAACTGTGTCTTCCCACCCACGTCTAGGTCCTTGTAGTGGTCTCTTCTGACGTTCCCACGAAAACCCTATAAGCATTCCACTTCTCCAGCATGTGTGCAATAACTTTTTTAAAACTACATACTTTAATTAAAATTTCAGTACTCACAACACTTTAACACATGCATGCTCACAAGTGTGGCATTTTGGATTATTCACTACTTTTCTACTTGCAGCCCCTTCTGATACTGCAGGAAGCAGCCTACTGTTTCCTCTCTCTACCAGACACTATATTACTCACTAAACAGCTGGCAGGATATTTTGTGGGCACTTTTGGATGCTGTGACCAGGAGTAGAAATCTTAGACTGAGGCACTTAAGAGAGGAAATGGTTAAATTAAAGAATTAATCTGAATGTGAATTTTACTAATCTCAAATAGCAGAATATTGAAGTGATACAATTCTACCGTAAGAACCATATAAATACTTAGCTTACTGATTATTGATAGAAAGAGTTTTTGGATTTATGAAAAGAAGAAAGTACTTGATAAGAGTAACAGTGTGCATAGAATAATGTTTATCTTGATGTACAGTAGCCACAGCTTTTAAAGACACTTATCTTGTACTCCTCGCAGAATGCAAAATATATGATCTTTTCAGCTTTCCTCGTGATCCTCGAGGAGCATCTGTAGATCGGTTTCCACCGCGTGATCCAAGAGAGAGAGTCGATCCACGAACTGGTATGCATTTCTGTCCATTATCCTTATACAATATATGAATCAATATACTGAATCTGAATTATGCACTAAAAGAGCACTGCTGAAGTATGACTGCTGTCAAGAAGTATATTCATGCATATTGATTAGACTGGCAATAAACGTCACATACCAGTCATTGTTTTCGGCTTTCAGTAGATTTGTGTATCTGTGATGACAAGCAGAATATATAAATGCCTTAAGATTATGGCTGCAGTAATTTATCTAAGGCAAGACTACATTTCTTACTCACAGGACAAATACATGTTATTGTTTTCACTCTCTGCAGAAAGTATAATAGGGTAATCTGACTCAAGTTGCAAGTCATGATCCCTATGATTATCTTTAGGTGCTACTCCAGTGCCAGTAGCAGTTTCTCGCCCACCTCAGCCTGGAATACCAGCCGCACTAGGTCCCCGTCCTGCAGGTGCTTCAACTATGTCTCCCATCAGTGCTGGCAGTGGTGCTTCAGATCAAGAGAAGGTAAATATGTGCTTGTTATGCATGAGAAATTTGGGACAGCAACAATGTACCTGAGGATTTTTTATCATTGTATTTATAGAAAGAGTGAACTGAACAGTCCAATGAAATTGTTGGTATACCCTTTATATACATATGATGTTCTATTTTTATCTGGAAATTGTAAATTAGTCATTCAGAGGAAATACAAAATGTCACAAAACGTTTTAATATTCCACAATGAACATCGTGTCGCTTGAGAAGTAACAGTGGTTTGATCCCTACAACAGATTACCTAATCTGAATGCTTTTACAACACAAAAATCAAAATATAATAAAGAATGTATTTTGTTTTTCAGGCAGCACTCATCATGCAAGTCTTGCAGTTGTCAGATGAACAGATAGCAATGCTACCACCTGAACAACGTCAAAGTATTCTTGTTCTGAAAGAACAAATTGCCAAGAGCACACAGCGGTAAAACAGAAAACTTATCCTTTGTTCCACCACTGTTTTAAAGTTATATTAGTGGTATTCTGTGGCATGTAATCTAAAATACACAATGAAATAATTTGAAAATAGATGCTGGAAGCTTAAGAGCAAGAACAGAAATCATATAATTTTGTGTAAGATGATATGAAACTGGATGGAACCACAACTGACAAATGTAAATCTATAGTATTAAGTGCTGTTCCATATGGTATTCTAAATTAGACCCTTATCTGTCATGGCCCACTGAGCCGAAGGAATTAATTATATAATACTGCTTCTAACACCAGTTTTAGTGAAACAGCGAGTTTAAATGACATAAAGGGAAGCAGATGTTACTCTCATGATTCAGCTTCGATACAAAAATGGAATATCCAGTATAACTGTGTACAACCATAAGAAGTATACTGTAATAAAAGGAATAATGCACTAAACTGTATCACACTTGACTATTCTTCCTTCTCTACTATAAGCAGTCCTGCATCCACTAGAGGCTGTAATATTAATCTGGATCCATCACTTGTGAACAACTCCACTTGCAACAATGGCTCCTCAGCCTATAAATTGCAACACACAAGATGAAAGAACATAATTAGAAAAGCAAATACTCTCCATAGTTAGAAAATACGTGCATGCAAAATATGATTTTCTAGAACTTCAATGGTGTAATGTTCTCTATTTTTAATCACTGTGTTTACAGCATACTCCCCGTTATCTTGCATGTGTGGGGATACAGAACTAAATTTTCACTATTCACTATTCTCTAGTCTCTTAATATTTCCATTTTCTGTTTCAAAGTCAAAACAACACATTCTAACTTTAATTTCTGCATGTTATGAAAGAGAATGAATTGTTGGGCGACAGACTTTGGAGGTATTGTAACACAGTCACATATCACTACAACAGTAACTGGGAGAACTAATGTGTAGCAGATAAACACCAACTTTGTTTTTGAAGTAACTTTATGAAATAGTAAATTTCCTCTGAAATGTCTGTTGGTTGCATATGATGCTACAGGTCAGTTTTCCATACAACAAGGGCAGGAAAAAAAAAAAAGTAAAGGTATCCCTGTAACAGGCTGTGGAGGCCCATAGGGTTGTGAGATGTTGAGGTTCTCACATTTTCTAGACAACTGGCTCATAGATGGCGGTAAGGTTGTCAGCCTTACACGCCGGCCGCCCTTTACCCCCAAGAATATTCCTGGTACTCATTTCTGTTAGAGGCTGAGTCGACCCCAGGGTCATAGTGTTGCTGGAAGTATTAGGTCCATTGAAAAAATCCACTTCATTGGAACTCGAACCCACGACCTTCCGGCTTGTAGCATAGTGCCTCGATCAACTATGCTACTGCGTGCCCCCCACTACAAGGGCATCTCATCCTTTGGGATGCCCTTGTGAAAAATTAAGCTCCCGAAGGAGGATCAAATGAAGGATGAGATGGATTACAAAATGCAGGGTGATCCGAAAGTCCTGATCCACTTTACAGAATGGCTTCGCCAAAGTTAATGAATGTTAAATATGTTATTGGTGCCACTGTTGTGTAACATATTCAGTACAGCTCAACTTGTCCCCCTTCCATTTCAAGAGACTATTCCCAACATACCACAGTAGCTGTGAAAAAATCATGAAGCCTGTTGGGTGCCAGTGCTTGTGATGCTTTGTAAATGTGTTGTCACAGGTCATGAAGATCAGAAACCTTTTTTCTGTACACCTTAGACTGAATGAAGCCCCAGGCAAAGAAGTCTAATGGTGTCAAGTGTGGCACCCAATGTTTCGGTGCAGCTCTGGCTATCCATGTGCTCCAGAAAGTGTTACTGGGGTAGTGACACACTTGAAGATGATGCACTCGTTTCTTAAGTTTAAATGCCAAACTCTTCAAACGGTTGTCCTTGGAATGTCAAGTTGGTTACTTAAGTGGCGAACTGATGCATGTGGGCGTTGCTCAACTGCTTGCTGAACATGTCCTACTTCCTCAGAAGTCTACCTGAATGTTTCTCATAGAGCGCGCTTTGTGTTACCTTGAACTTGTTAACTAGAAGTCGTATATTGGCTTTAGTAGGAGCTATTGCTATTGTCTTCAATATTGTGCATATTTCATGATTAGTCTGAAGCAAACAAAAAAGACTGATGAAATGAGACTTCTGGATCACCCTGTATTAGTTGACAGCTCTAAATGGAAGGGAACTGGGATAGCTCAGTCGGTTTGGCAACTGGCTATGGGCTGGATGGCTTGGAGTTCAGTTCCCAGCAGGGACAAGAAATTTTTATATTCCCCAGTGTCCAGATTGCTCTGAGGTTCTCCCAGACTTTTCTTCCGCAGTGTACCAGGAGCTCATTCCCTGGGGGTAAGGCAGCTGTGGTATGAAGCTCACCACTCATGTACATCTTCATGGCATGGTGCAATTTTACCTTTTAGAAACAATGGAAGAGACTATTTGTAATACCTAGGTTAGATGGCAGGTCTTACAGAAACACAGAACAAAAATGTGGACTTGATTCATTTGGACCAGGATAGGATCCAGTGCTAGCTTCTGTGAATACCATAATGAACCTACACATTCTACAAAATGCTGTGAATTTATTGACCAGTTGAACAACTATCACCTTCTGGACTCCCCATCTTGAGGTTAACTTAGCTCTCATGTACTACAAGCGAGTTACCTGCTTCATTCTGCCAGCATTATGAAGAAAATGAACAATTGTTACCTTTATCTTGGCTAATAGTGGTGGATGAGAGAGACATTCTGCCAACTTTGGGAAGAGTACTTTTGGATCCCAGTCATTTGGTCTCTGAATATGCCACATCCGACAATGAATACCCTGCACTGGCACAATTGTCCACTCAGGCTTCAGTATGTGTACCCTAAATTTTAACATTGGAAAAATGTATTTCTGGGTTGCAGTTATAACTATTAGGAATGCTAACAAGGAAAACAGGATAAACATGGCATGAATTCATGTAAATATTCATGCTAATCTTAATGCACAATGAAGTGTTCTCTCTAAACCAGGGACCAGTTGCTCTGACTATCAGAGCTTGTGTAAGAACCTTGTTTTTAATATATATTTACATATTGATTTTAAAATAAAAAAGGAGCCAGGCTAAAGTGTTAAGTTAAATGGCTAGTGTGACATGCACTACAGCATGAGGTGGCAACATTTTGATATCTGAACAACAGTATGTTACTGTGACTGCACAAGTAGCGCCTTTATGATACACTGCTTACCACACCTTCCTGCAAGCAGTGTTGCACTCCATATGCAGTGAAACTTCACTTATTAGTTATCAAAAGTCCACAGTCAGTGGTTAATGGATGAATTGGAGACAGGGTAGTAGTCCTTTGTTTAAGGTGAGAGCAAGAATTTTAGATGCTGGTTGCTGAAACCATTTGTTTGGTGAAGTGGTTCAGAATCAGTAGCTATCGAAGATGATGTAGCAGTGTAAATATGCTGTACTTAATAAATGTGAATAGCTACAATAACAGTTAAGACTGTGAGAAAGAACTGAAAATTGGCAGCACAGTTTTAACTAAGTGGGAAGAACATTGCAGATCCAGGATGTATTCACTGTGGCTAATTTGTGGTGAAAGTCTCTGTATTCAAGGGCTTCTTTCTTAAATGTCACTTCACTTAAAACATGAAGGATACTGTGCCACTTTATCTCTGGGTGCAAGAATAAGGAAAGCCAAACAACTGGTGTTGAGTTTGAAAAATATCAAGTGTCTGTGTCGCAAAATAAACTGCAGTAGTAAATGACTCAAGCAGATTTTTTTGTGACATGCAACAGAGCTAAGCAAAATAAACTATTTTTGTACAGTGAATTTATGAAAGTGTATGTTGGATACAGCTGGAGCAGTGTGCCTGAAAAAATACACAATATTTGAAAACAAGTTTATCCAGAAGAACTGTATGTTGCATTGGAAATATGTACAGTGATAGTTCATACAGTTAAGTGATACAGGACATATGTTCATGTACTTCTCTGTAGTGTTGGATGATATTACTGATGCAGTTCAATTAAAGATTCTTATACAATGTGTGGACAAGAGTTCATATGTACAATAGTCCCAAATACTCTGGGAAGAAGATACCAATTTCTGTGTCCACATACAACTGGGAACAGACACCTTTCTAACCCTTTCCGGTTGTCGCATTTGGAAAAATTTCTGCAGCCAGGTTGCCAAGGGATTTTAAATGCCTGCAGAGCAACTAAGCAAGCTGTCTTGCTCAGAAAGTGGGTACATGTGTACTTACCATCACAGTGCAAGAAGACAAATTCTCTGCCTTGTAGTGGTGTATGGCAATGAAGTGTGGAGAGAGGTTTTAGTGTTTTACTGGATAAAATTGTCTTCTGCTCTAGTATAAAATATATGCATATCATTTCTTCTTATAATTGTCACACTTCTATGTACACAAACAACAAAAACTCGATAAACTATAGGACCTACACTAAAACTTTTTTAAGTTCTTGAGAGTGTTATATTTTGAAACATTCCACAGGACACATGGCCGGTTGATTGTTGCAGGTCTTATAACAGAAATTCCAAAATTTTGTGTCTCGCATACCTGTTTGTCTCCATAATAATGTTATTCAAAAGCTCATCATTGAAAAAAACTAAAATAATCCATGGGCTCTGCATCTGGTAGAAGGTTAAATTGTGGCCCTGCATTTTTAGTAAATTTGTATGCCTTGGGTTTCTTGTCCCTCATCGTCATGTCTTCCCACCCCTCAACATTCATAACATTTGTTTCACTCTTGCTCGCACCTTCTGACATAAAGGACAGGTTCTACGAAGAACTAGAACATGTATTTGATAAATTTCTCAAGTACCCTATGAAAATTGTGTTAGGAGATTTCATTGCCAAATTAGGAAGGGAAGACATTTTCAAAACAACAATTGGGAATGAGAGTTTGCATGAAATTAGTAAGGATAATGGAGTTACGAGTTATAAAAAATGCCACACTGAAAAATCTTACTGTCAAAAGTACAATGTTTCCGCATCATAACATCCATAAATTTACTTGGACATCTCATGATTGGAAGATACATAATCAAATGGACCATATTTTGATAGATAGGAGACGGCACTCAAGTATACTTGATGTCCAATCATTCAGGGCAGCAGATTGTGATACTGACCATTACCTGGTGGCGGCAAAGGTTAGGGAAAGATTGGCAGTGAGCAAACAAACAACACACAGAGTTCTTATGGAGAAGTTCAATCTCAAGAAATTAACTGAGGTAGAGGGTAAAGAGCTGTACTGTGTTGAAATCTCAAATAGGTTTGTGGCTTTGGAAAACTTGGACACTGAGATGGATGTTAATAAAGCCTGGGAAACTATTAGAGAGAACATCAAAATGTCTGCCAAAGAGAGTCTAGGNCTACCTGGTCCTAGCCCTTTTGAGGTTGAAAGTGCTACTGCAAAATGGAAACGGTATAAATTGACATGTAGTGATCAAATTCTAGCAGAACTTATTCAAGCAGGAGGTGAAATATTACATAGTAAGATCCACAATCTAATTACTTCTATTTGGCATAAGGAAAAATTGCCTACTCAGTGGAAGGAGTCTATTACTGTACCAGTTCACAAGAAGGGTGATAAAACTGACTCTGGTAATTATCGAGAGATATCACTGCTATCAACTTCATACAAAATTTTATCCAATATTCTTCTCTCAAGGTTAACTCCATATATAGATGAAATTATTGGAGATCATCAGTGCGGGTTTTGACATAACAGATCAACTACAGATCAGACCTTTTGCATTTGTCAGACATTGGAGGAAAAATGGGAGTACAATGAGACGGTACATCAGCTATTTGAAGACTTCAAGAAAGCATATGAAACTAGTTAAGTTGATTAAAATGTGTTTAAATTAAAAAAGTCTGTATAGGTAAACAGCTGACTGATAAATTTCCTATCCACAATGGTCTAAGACAAGGAGATGCTTTATCACCACTACTTTTCAACTTTGCTTTAGAATATGCCATTAGGAAGGTCCAGGAAAACCAGGTGGGAATGAAATTACTACTGGGTGATAATACGGATACCATAAATAAAAACACACAAAATTTAACTGATGCAAGTAAAGAGGTTGATCTAGAAGTAAACACAGAGAAAATGAAGTATATGTTGCTGTGTCATCACCAAAATGCAGGGCAAAATCATGACATATGGATAGCTATCAGATGTTTTGAAAATGTGGCACAGTTCAGATATTTGGGAATGACGATAACAAATCAAAACCTGATTCAGGAGGAAATTAAGAGGAGACTGAACTGGGGTAATGCTTGCTACCATTCAGTCCAGAACCTTTTGTCTTCTTGTCCGCTGTCCAAAAACATACATATTTGCATATACAAAACTATAATTTTGCCTGTGGTTCTGTATGGGTGTGAAAATTGGTCTCTGACATTAAGGGAGGAACAAAGACTGAGGGTGTTTGAGAACAAGGTGTTGAGAATATTTGGATCAAAGAGGGATGAAGTGACAGAAAGTTAGAGGAAACTGTATAATGAAGAGCTTCATAACTTGTACTCTTGTGCATGTAGCACGAATGAGGGAGAACAGGAATGCATATAGGATATTGGTGGGGAAGCCAGAAGGAAAGAGACCACTGGGAAGACCAACGCATAGGTGGGTGGACAATATTAAAATGGATCTTAGAGAGATAGGATGGTATGGATTGGATTGATCTGGCTTAGAATAGGGATCAGCGGACGGCTCTTGTGAACACAGTAATGAACCTTCATGTTCCATAAAATGCTGGGAAGTTCTTGAGTAGCTGCACAATTGGAGGCTTCTCAAGAAGGGCTCTGCTCCATGAGTGGGGGAGCATCATGTTGTGTGGTGAGTTAAAATTAAAAACCAGGAAAACATTTTACACGAATTCTGTTCCTAACAATACTATAGCAACATTTCCCTATTTGTATTAGTTATACTTCATAGTGTTCAGAGCCACATTTCATTAACGGCATTATGTAAATGAATGTTTGTTCTACGGGATATCACCATTACTACATCTGGGCTGTTTCTTTTCTACTGTCCCTCATGTGAGTACTCACAACCAATCAGTGACTATAATGGCAGAAGCTTCCAAAATGCTGTGAATGAAATCCTCCAGTTGATGGTATGCTGAGGTGTGTGATAAAATATCCTAATCTAGGAAGTCTCAAGATTTATTGAAAGAAAAATTGAAATTCATAAAACATAAACAGTACTCACTTGTCTGTTGATTGGCATTCCATGTTCCCATAATCCACGTACTGGATTTTCAGTTGTTTAGCTTCTTTGGGCTCTACAGAAAGAACAGCAGCCCTGTACCACTGATCATCTACTGTATAGCGAGCACAGCATGGTTGCCCTGCATTGTAACAGATTATCAAAGTTTTATTCTGTATTAATATACATGTCAATACTGTGAAATGTGGGGGGCATGCAGTAGCATTGTTGGTTGAAGCACTATGCTACAAGCTGGAATGTCGCGGGTACAAGTCCTGATGAGGTCATTGGATTTTTTCAATTGACCTGATCCTTCCAGCCACACTATGGCCCTGGGGTCAACTCAGAAATGAGAACCAGGAATATTCTAGGGGGTTAAGGGCGGCCAGCGTGTAGGGATGACAATCTTGCCACCATCTATGAGCCAATTATCTAGAAAATGTGGGAACCTACACATCTCACAACCCTATGGGCCTTCACGGTCTGTTACAGGGATAGCTTTACTTTTTTACTGTGAAATACTATATTAAAAAAAGTAAAGCTACCCCTGTAACAGGCCATGAAGGCCCACAGGGTTGTGAGATGTGTAGGTTCCCACATTTTCTAGATAATTGGCTCATAGATGGTGGCAAGATTGTCATCCCTACACGCTGGCCGCCCTTAACCCCCTAGAATGTTCCTGGTTCTCATTTCTGAGTTGACCCCAGGGCCATAGTGCTGCTGGTAGGGATAGGTCAACTGAAAAATCCAACGACTTCATCAGGATTTGAACCTGTGACCCTCTGGCTTGTAGCATAGTGCCTCAACCAACTACCCCACCATGTGCCTCCGTGAAATACTAGGTGGTTCAAATATGACCGGGACTGATTTAAAAAAAAAAAAAACATAATTGCCAAACACATACTTGCACATGTCAGTCTTTAACGTACTCCCCCCTGGAGTCAACACATTTTTTCCAACTTTCTGGAAGCATCCTTATGCCCCCCCCC